CATTTGGTGCCAAATTAAATAGTAATGAAAGTTAAAACATTGAAATAGCTAGAAACATCCATATATAAGCATATCTATCAATATATCGCTATTTCTTTTCCGATGTATAAAAAAATCAATATATCGCTAAATCACTTCTTACATTATACTACGTAGTTTTAATATAGGGCCCGTTTGGTATGATGTAAAGTAAACACTTTGCGTGTAAAGTGAGGGGATGTGAACATTTTACACCGTTTGTTTTGAATATTTGGTGTAAACTGTAGGGTACTTTTTTAAAAACATTTTACACTGTACCGTGTAAAATATTTTACGTGGGAGGAGGGTAGTAAACTACTTTACACTCGTTAATACCGAGAGAACTTCTTTTACAATTCAAGAAGTTTTTACGATTGCAATTAGCTGATTGCAGCAAAAGAAAATTTTGGCTGCTAAAAGCAGATTTCCCCTCCTATTTAAGAACACAAAATCGTGAAGCAAATCACCACTACCTATCTTAATTGCTGATCTGTGTTGCCCTACTCGATCTGCTCCTTCGAATAATTGAAGAGCTAAGCCAGCTTCTGGTTTTCTTTTTTCTTTTTTAAATTTATCACCATGATTCCATGTTGGATCTGATCTCTACCTTGTTTTTCAATTTTTTTTAAACTACGTAATTCACCGCATGCTGCTTGAGAATATCAGTAGAAAGGTTTGTAGAACTTGCTATCTTAATACATTTGTGTGATTGAGAATGTAAGCATAAAAGCAGATTGTAAGCAACTAGCATCAACTAGCAGCAATCGGCTATGTATATGATCCGTTTGTTAATACGGATTATTTTATTATTTTCCAAACAAACATTTTAAAGAGTTTGCGTGTAATTTAATAATAGATTACATAGATAGCCAAACGGTGTATTTTTAATTTACACGTAAACTGATTAGAGTCCTACACTTTACATGCAAAGTGATTGCATGTAAAGTTTTAATGAGTAAACAACCAAACGAGCCCATAGGGTAAATGCGTGATTTTAAATAATACGAAGTATAACAAACATCATACGTAGTACATGAACACTTTTTATAACACAGTTGGTTATTTAACCTATCAAAAACCGATATGAAACCCTCAAGTGACTCCATTTTAAAACATATTTTTTTTAGGTATTCATGATGGTTAAGTGATTAGCCGTATGTAAATAAGCTTATACTACGTATTATTTATGTGATAGATTCAAACCATTGTTATTGCCAGGGGTGGAGGGGACACCGTCCCCCCAAGAAAAAATTAAGATTTATATTCATATGTATAAATATTCATAGGCAGTAAGAAATATACTGAAATTTTAAACTTTGACCCCATATATTATATAAAATTCTTTAAACCCAGCCCCCTAACATATCATTTCTGGCTACGCCACTGTTATTGCCTAAAATCGACTTAAATTGATTTTCAAATCGCATGTTATTATAGATATATTGTTATATAACGTTGAAGGTCGGTATACCTTAAAGTTATATTCTTGTCCGTATCCAAAAAAGATTCAAACAAGCTGACCTGCTTATAGGTCATATTTGTTGGAGGATTGTGGTATTGGTCCACTAATGCGACTTGATTTCCGAACTTCTCTGCTGCCGTATTCCAGATATCGGGAACTGCTTTCCATTCAGATGATTGCAACGATTCATTCCCCGACAAAAACATGCTTTCTAAAATTGGTGAACACTTCCTGACCTGAATTTCCTTTATCTTAAAAGGAGCACCATGCATTTACTTGGGATTAAAACTATAATCCCCCTTCCGGAATTAATTTGCATAAAAAACACTAGACCAAGAATAAAATTACTCCTTACATGATAATTTTGAAATTGACGTTTTTGTCAAATTAATGTTAATAACAAAAATTTATATATTTATAGATTAGACTAAATTAAAAAAGGCTTCAAGTTGATACTAAAAAATAGAGAATAGAGTGAAATTAAAATGACCAAGAAAAGTAAAACATATGCACTAGAAGTTTGGTAAGACCAACAATGTTGCTTTGAAATAAAAGCTAACTATCATGCTTTTTATAAATTAAAAAATAAAAATTGGCATCAAATAATAAGCCCTAAGGAGAAACACCTCTGCCTTGCAGAAAACTCTAAACTTCTTGGTTCTAGAACCCCAATAATTTTGTTCTGATATCATTTTGATGAATCCATGATGGGACATTAAACCCTGCAAAGAGTGATTTGAGCCATTTTTGTTCAGAACATTAAAATGTACTGATTTAATGTTCAACCCCGCCATCTTTAACTTTGTTCATGCAAATACAGAGGAAGGCAGGCAAACTAGAGAAGAGTGTTTAACGAAATCTAATATAAGTGATGATAGAATTTGAGGGAATGACGAGTGAAAGAAGCAATGAAGCATGTGGAGAGAAAAATAAGCATTGCTTAAGTTAGAGTTAGTTGAAGAGTGCAAATTGAGTGACTTGCAGCATGTAAAGAATGCCATTCTTTGTTCACCTCCTTATAATAACACTTTTCTATTTTGATAATTTTGTGCATATGAAAGGTAAAGTCTATTCAGTTACATGAAAGAGAGAATTCTCCTAAGAATATGGTATGTGTGCAATGTCTTTAAAGAATACTCTCGTAAACATTCGTTTCTCTGTGAGAATATATATACCCCTCCATCCCTACTAACTTTGCCAAGTTTGACCAACACGGGGATTAATAAAGTAAAAACTGTGTGGTTGAGGTTTGTTCAGAAGAGAGAACTAACAGGAACCACAAATTCTTTACTTAAAAGGAAAAGTGTCAAATTAAAGTTAATGGGACATCCAAAAAAGGAACGGAGGGAGTACTATTGATTAAAATGTCAAACCAAGCATTCCAGCACAGCTAGTTGTGAGGTTACCGTGCCTAGTGGGAGGTCTCGAGTTCGAAACCCGCTAGACACATAAGGGTCCGAAACTCAATGGAGTGAGTTTCAGCCTTGATTACTCCAGCCCTCAAGACCCCTCTGGAGTAAAAAATAAATAAAAATAAAAATAATAAAAAGATTGAAAACGTCAAAATAGAATCTACTAATTTAACTTCTCTTATTTATATATGTTATATGGCTATTTAACACTTTTTATATGTAGATAAATAAGGTAAAGTTCAAGAAAAATTCACAAAGATAATAATAATTAGAAACGCAATAAAAGTCCAAGATCTTAAATTAAATTAAAAAAATTTCAAACCCAAAAACTTAACGGTTAACGCCATTAGAAATCGATGAAGGAAGACAATGAACTTAACATTATTCATCTATATGTGATGAGGACTTTTAATTTTCTGTTTTTTACATAAAAATATAGCAAATGTCTTGTTAATAAATACGGAGTACTATTGTAGTAACCTTATTTGTACAAAAAATTGTTTTAACTCTCACATCTTAAACATTACTACCTCCGTCAACTAACATTGAAACATGAAGAGATAGTGCACTTATTAAGAAAAGTGAGTTTATGTGATTGATATTAAATTGATAAAATTAAAAATAAAGTAATAATGGTTTAGAACCACACAAACTTACCAAATTTAGTATGAGACGATTTTAGTGCAATGGACCGAAAAGGAATTATATGACAATTTTAGCGGGAAAGATGAAGTATTTAGCACATTCACTTTGTGCAATGTACTAGTCAAATTTTTAATCCAATAAACTAAACGTTGAAAAACCCCCATTAGATAGTACTCGGTAGTTCAAATTTGGTACCTAGAAATCTAGAATTGTTATTCAGTCCCGGTGGAAATGTGGAATACTTGTATTCCACCTAGAAATCTATCTAGATAGTACTCCGTTAGTCGAATACTTGTATCACTTTGAATATTTGGTTGTTCCCGGTGGAATTTTTTGATGAAATTTATTGAACATCTTTTTTATTAAGTCTAATTTACTCATACCAAGTTTCAGCTACAAATTCAATCTGGAAGACAGTCAAATGAGTTTTTGAAGAGAGCTGCACAATTAAACAGCGCAGTACATTTCAGAAAATCATTTGACTATCTTCTAGATTGAATTTTTATCTGAAATTTGGAATGGGTAAATTAGACTTAATGAAGAAGATGTTCAAAAATTTGCATAAAAAAGTCCACCTGGAAATGGCAACGGCTGGACAGAACGTCCTATAAAAGAGGTGATTTGAACTTTTTAAGAGAGTTCGAGGGTCCATTTGACCCTTTTCCCTAAACCATATAATAATTACAATTAATGGTATTAAGTTTCTTTTCAGTTTATTATGATAAAATATATAATGATAATTATAATTAATGGTATTATAAGATTTTCTACGATCAATATTTTTTGTCTCTCTAAATGCATTTAAACATCAATAGTCTTCATGATTGTTTTGTGAAAGGATTAAATACTATCTAAAATTTATACCGTATGAGTCTAGAGTTAAGTATGTATATAGGACTAAAAGTCTGTCCGTTTGAACAAATAAGACCAAAAAATAAACTTTATTTCGTAGGACCAATTATGTATGTCTCGAACAAATATACTCTTCTAGCTATTGAAATGTTTTAATTCATAATAAAATAATTAAAAGAAAATAAAAAATCGTAAAAAATACTGAATATAATAATAAAAATATTTATATAATATCATTTTAAAGAATTTTAAAAAACACACAAAAAATAAAATAAAAAATCACTGCCGCCTCTGCCGCCCCACCTCTAATTATTGGGGAAAAATGCCACATGCATTAGGAATGCCATTTTTTGGGCATTTTCAGGAAAAAATGACACTTTTAGAAAAAATGGTGGTGCAAGGCATGGAAAAGACATCCATATTTTTTTATTTTTATATTAAATATTTTCTTAGGTTATTATTTTGTAAATACTTTGTTAATTTTTTCTTATTTTTCTACGATTTTTATTATTTTTTACAAATTTATATGAATTATTTAATTATGACTTTTGACTACTTTTTACTCATATTTAAAAGATGGGTAAGAATGGAATGAAAAAATGAAAAATAGGCATGTTTCCAAATAGGATTAATATAGTCCGCCCAGACCCAATCCATCCCTTCACAGTTTATTACGGAGCTTTCTGCGTGTCACCTCCTCCTGGTGTAGTGGTGTGTATTCCTCACCCATCAGCATTGTTTACGAAGAACCCGTGAAGTGTTTAGCAACTCATCTAATGCTCGTACAGTCGTACCAAATTGTTGAGCTCTACCCAGTAGCAATATATACATTTATAAATATATTAATTTATATACCATAACAGGACATCTACGACCAAGTTACCGGTAGGAACTACCAGACCCCTTCAATATCTATGCTGTGTCAAAATTTCAGTCTTTTTTGCAAATTACATGATCTATCCTCTGAACAATTCGCTGGACTGAGTTATTCCAATGAGACTTGTTTTGACAATGTCCTGGATGAGTACTAACTTGGCAATGGAAAATTTGTTTGCACACTTCCATTGCAGATTCTGTTGCACCCACCATGGCTTGTCACTATCTGCAAAAAAAACCTGTTCATTGTTAAAATTGGTGCCATTTAGACAGTATTTTATGTTATCATAATAAAGCAGTTTATCATAACAGGTTTCAGTCGGGCCAAAATTTTATTTTGTAGGAGACCTTGTTTATACGTACTGTAACATCATTGTAACATAAGCATAAGTGAATATGTCAACTATTTATCGTTCATGTTACATTGGGGATAACACAATTTCCAGTGAAGATGTTCGCAACGCTATACTCGCGGTGTCTTTCACATCGTCTTCAAAAGCTTCATCCATTCACTCAGTTTCTGGTCTAGAACACGACTTTTGGAAGTCGTTGTGTCAAATGATGACACAACGACTTATCTAATGAATATCTAATGAATGTCGAGGTATGATAAAACACGCTCTACAATATGTATGTAACGAAAAACCTATCCCTCATTCATATCCCAAAACCACATATAGTCCTAATCTATTTCTTTTCTCAAAATGCATTGAATCAACATTAAGACCAAAAATACCATTATGCTTACGCAACGTTAATCTTGATGTTTCCTCACTTGCGGCCTGCCATTCCCCCATACGACAGCCACCATCATAAACCCAACCCTCTCCAAAACATTCTCATAAACCTTCGAACAATAAATGCTTAGTAAATGCCTCTATAATTTCTTATATAATCTTCTATGTGTGCTAAATGGTCTTACCCATGTGAAGTGTAGGGAAGATTAATCAAGATGACCTTAATGTCTCTGAAAAACTAATTTTCTTACTTTCAATGTGCCTCATGAAAGCATTGCTAGATTTTGGTTTAACTAAACAATTGGAATCTGTGTTCCCAATATGCATCTGGCTACACAAAGCCGGAAACCAGTCTGTTAGGCATTTGGCTTATCAATCATCCAACACTCTCTAGCCAGCAATCCTCTAACTCCACGAAAAATAGAGAAAATGGGGAATCACCCGGTTTCTTGCAAACAGGAGTATGGCGTTTTTTCAAATTAGGAGACAATACTGCAAAAAAGGGTTCTTACAATGGAACCAAAACAAGCTTCCTGACCTGTTAGCCTTATGTTCACTATGACAACCTCTTATTTAGATCCAAAACACAGTTTCACATACATTTGAGCAGAAAGGATATATTTGTTCTCCAAGGTATAATTGAAGCGTATTTTTATTCTTTAACATTGTTCATAATAACTAAATTGTTTTTGCAAGAAGAAATTATCTATGCTTACAAGATAAACACGAATATTGACAAACTCTTTGCAAGAGATGACAAAGATATTAATCTTAAACAAATTAAGTTCACAAAAAGTCTTTTATTTATCACACACATACAAATTACAAAGTCAATCACACCAAACACTTTAAATGCATCGTGACCTCAATTTCACAGATCCAAAAGAATTCAGCTCAAATCATATTACGTATTACACCAAAGGTTTCAAACACGAAATTACAAAAGTTGGTTTTGGAAAAGTATTCAAAAGTTGGGTATTGGGAGAAGCTGGTGAAGTAATTCATAAAATTGCAGATAAAGTGTCAAAAGGATTATCAACGAGATTTGGGAAAAGCTTATTTTTCTTTAACTACTTATTTTGGATGATATATTTTGTTAGTTAGACGAGCACTTTCCCTTAAAAAGTTAATTAGTAAGATTGTAGAAAAAGTGGTCTCAAAATAATCACTTTAATAAAACAGCGTTAACATATTTCAAATAAAAGAAACAAATTTAGAACTCAATGTGAGTATACTTGCATATTGAAGGTAACTTGTAGCCTTGTGTACTTGTGATATTACATTTCATAACTAAAACCTTTACAGACAGAAAAAATGTATTTGTGCACTCTAAGTCATTTCAAAATAATAAAACAAAAAGATATGCCTCAAACGACAGTTTCTACTTAGTATATGAGTACATGGAGCCATCAGCAACAAAATAACAAAAAGTAAAATTTTGAATAAAACATTATATATCACAAATAGATTTGCACCTTTCTTGGTGAGATATAATTTCTCTACACGAAAATTATGCGTTCAGGTTTGGATTGGAAACAAACCAAAAACATTGCATTAGGTGCAGCTCAAGCAATGCAACAACTACATGAGCACAACCCTTGTTTGATCTTTCGTGATTTCAAAGCTTCAAATATACTGCTTGACCAGGTTAGCCCGGTAAAAAATAACCAAAAAAGTCATTAATTATATGTTCTCTTGAAAAAGAATGTATATAGGTGCATATGTATAATATTTCAATGTAAAATACTTTACCCTAGAAACAGCGGCAACAAAATATAGATAATATGAGAACTATAAGAACTTTCAATACTAATGATGGATTTTCCATATCTAAGATATTACAGTCCAAAGCTAAGTGACTTCGGAATTGTGATAATAGAGAATACATATCTGTCAGGTGGAACTCTCAGATATACCGATCCAGTAATGTAAACAAAACGTATGAGATCGCACTTTATATACGTTTTTCTTCACTTTTTCTACACATTGGGATTAATTAGTAGTTTAGTGAAATTCTTCACCACCCTCGTTTATTCTTAAATAAGAATCCAATTCATGAAGTTGAGTTTTGAAATTATGGCACAATATGTAAACAAGAGTCTAACCAAGATTGCATCAGACAAACTTACAATTGAAAAATAACTAACCAGAAAGAAACATAGAATTTCAAATTTGGAAGTACGGAATGCAAATAAAATATTGATTCGGATAAAATTGAGATCACTACTCTATTCCAAAATGACAAAATTGTATATAAAGGTACCGAGATATTTAACGTTCACTCATCATGTTGTGACTACTTGTTATTTTTATCAATAAATTATTAGCTACTTGATATTTTGGTTTAACAAAATTTCGTTAACACGATAAGATAATAAAGAAAAGGATGTGTATAGCATGGCAATTCTATTACTACAGCTCATTAAAGAAGTTGAATGGCCTTATTCAAATAAAAAAAAGCGGTGCAATCAAGATTTCAAAGAAGAAAACGAGAGTTTCCTTCACACAAGTTTAAAAGGAATGATATGCTCTATAAAAGAAATCATTACTTCACCAGTACTTAGGTTAATTGATAAAGGCATTGAAAAAGACCGACTATATAAGAAGTTGTAGGCGAATTAAAGAAATTAAAAGCGATTGATAACTAAGGTCATGATCTACTATCCTTTTCTCTACTTTATTTATTTACACTGATGAAAACATGTGAGGTTGAACCGTATCAACATGACATGTGATTCAAGAAATGATAGAATATCATGACCTTAGTTATTAATTGCTTTTAATTTCTCTAGTTCACCTATAATTTCTTAAATATCCAGTCTTTTTTCAATATCTTTGTCAACTAACCTAAGCATTTGTGTGGTAATGATTTTGTCTTCTTCCATAGAAGGCTTCATTTCCTTTAAGCTTGTGTGATGAACACTTTTGTTTTTTCCTTGAAATCTTGATTTCACCATTTTTTCAATTTGAACAGGGTCATTCAACTTTTTGATGATCAACTTTTTGATGATGAGCTGTAACAATTGAATTCTCATGTTATACACATCTCTTTCTTTATTACCTTTTCTTGTTAAGAGAAAAACTTTCGAACCAAAATATTGTGATACAAAGAATTAAGTAACAAAAATAGTAGCAATTAATTCATTAACAAAAATAACAAGAAGTCACAACTCTATGAGTGAACATTACAATCCCGAGTATTTTTATATTCAATATTGGCATTTTGGAATTCAATAGTGTAAACAATATTTCATTTGCTTTTCATAGTTTCATATTCAAATTCAATATTTCTTTCTAATTAGTTATTTTTCCAATCATAAACTTGTTTTATGTAGTCTTGATTAGACTCTTGTTTACATATTACACCCTAATTTCAAATTCATACTTCCAATTCTCACTTAAGAATAAATGAGGGTAATGGAGAGAACTTCACTAAGTATTAATAAGTCCCATGCGTAAAAAACTAAACGAAGTTTATATAAATTCTGATCTCATACTTTTGTATACATTACTGGATCAGTGTATCTGAGATTTTCACCAAAATATTATTTCTCTTTTGTCACAATTTCAAAGTCACTTTGCTTTAGATGGTAATCCTAAACATGGAAAATTCATCATTAATGATTGAAATTCATATAGTTCTCATATTATGTTGTCAGTGTTTCAAGGGTAAAATATTTTATATTGAAATTCTGCATAAATGCATCCATAAACATTCGTTTTCGAGAGAACATATAATTAATTTTCTGATTTCATTTACAGGGCTAACTTGATCAAGCAATATATTTAAAGCTTTGAAATCTCGAAAGATCATACAAGGATTGTGCTCATGTAATTGTTGCATTGTTTGAGCTACACCTAATGCGATATTTTTGGTTTGTTTCCAATCCAAACTTAAACACATAATATTCTTTTGTAAAAAAATTATCATCTTAGTAAAAGAGGCGCAATCTATATGTTATATACTACCTCCGTAACGCTAGAATCTTCCCAGTTTGACTCTTTTGGGTCAAACTTTATGAACTTTGACCATTAATTATTCAAAACTCACATTATGTTATGATTAAAAATTTATTTTATATAACTCATTGTAAAACGTATTATTTGAATGTTAATTTATTATGAATTTTATAAATATAGATATGTAGATATTTGCAGTCAAAGTTCAACTTAGAAGACCTTGAAAAGTCAAAATGGGAAGATCTTTATGTTACGGAGGGAGTATAACGTTTTATTCAGAATTTTAGCTTTTATTTTGCTGTTGATGGTTCCATGCTCCATTTCCTCATATACTAAAAAGAAATTGTCGTTTGAGGCATATCTATTTATTTTATTATCTTAGGATGACATAGAGCCGACAAATACAACTTTTACCTCTCGAAGTTATAGTTATGAAATGCTACAAGTTACCTTGCATATGCAAGTATACTTGAGATGATAAGAAATATCTTTGGAATTTTAAAACAATTGTTTTACCCACATTGAATTTTAAATTTCTTTCATTTATTTGAAATATGTTTGTTCAGTTTTATTAAAGTGATTATTTTTTAGAAGACTTTTCTTATAATCTTACCAATAACCTTCTAAGAGAAAGCACTCGTTTTACAATTGCATGCAATTATTCCAACAAAAAATATCATTCAAAATAAATATTTTAAAGCAAAATGAGACATCTTAATTCCTAAATAACGTACTTCCCACTTTATCCTGAAACATTAATGGTAATTTTATGAATTATTTCACTGGCTTCTCCCAACATCCAACCTTTAAATATTTTTCCAAAACCATCTTCTGCAATTTCGTTCTTGAAACCTTTGATATAGTACATAATCTGACTTAAGCTCAATTCTTTTGGACATGTGAAAATGAGGTCACGATGCACTTAAAAGTGTTTGGTGTGATGACTTTATAATTTGTGTGTGTAATTAATAAATGACTTTATGTGAACTTAATATGTCAATGATTAATACCTTTGTCATCTCCTGCAAAGCGTTTGTCAATGTTCGTGTTTATGTTGTAAACAGAGATAATCTCTTCCTGCCAAATCAATTTGGTTATTATGAGCAGTGTTAAGGAACAAAAATACACTTCAATTATACCTAAGAGAACAAATAGAACCTTTTGACTCAAATGTATTTGAAACTGTTTTTTGGATCTAAATAATAGGTTGTCAATATCCGTGTTTATCTTGTAAACAAAGATGAACAATGTAATGGAACAAAAATACGTTTCATTTATACCTAAGAGAACAAATATTCCCTTCAGCTCAAATGTGTGTGGAACTGCGTGTTGGATCAAAATAATAGGTTGTAATAGTGAACATGAGACTAACGGGTTAGGAAGCTTGTTTTGGTTCCACATTCTACGAAGTACTAACGTAGTAATATATTAACAAAGGTTCCTAGTAAGAAGCCTAAAGAAAATAAAAAATTGAAGATATAAAGGACTCACCGACACATAAAGTCATTGTGTGAAATCTTAAATTTTAAAAGTCTAATACTATCAAAATATACACTATCCAGTGTTCCTTTTCCTTAAATAAAATACAATCACTATTTATTTAAAAAATCTAATCTTCAATTTCAATCTTTCAAAAGAAGAAAATAAAGTCACATTTTGGTTCGACTGGCTTACTCGGTCATAACTCAGTAGTTTCCATAACAATGAATATGTAAGCTACTTGGCCAGATGTATACTTGAGCAGCAAGTACTCGGCAAGTACTCACTAATTAGATATTAGAGATCCATAAAAAAGTTTATCTATTGCAAACTATGATTCCGTAGCCTGGTGGTTCATTTGAATTTATATCCAGCACACCCAACCTGTAAATTCAGTTGTCCCACATGGAAGAACTCCCCACGGTCTATGATTCATTCTACTGCACTTGTGTGCTAATTTCACAACGAAACCATTTTAAATTGACCATTCAGATAAAAAATGACACAATGCTTAATAAAGGGTGTGATGGAGTACTGGAATGTGTGGAGTCCGAAGAGTAAATAAGCCTTATTGTGCAATGATGCGTAATAAAACATTATAAATTCCTAAATAGAATATTATAAATAAAACAAAAAAAAATTAAATAATGTGATAAAACAATCATCAGAGTTCTTTTTTTTAGAGTTCAAACATCACATAATAGAAACTACTTTCAATTTCATCAATCCTATTAATGTTAAAAGTTTGTTAGGATATTTTCACTTGAATCCAGTTCAAGCGAAAATGTTAAACCTGACTTAAACATGATAACATACCATACCCAGAACTAAAGACTAACCAAAACTGACTTACTCAGAATAGGCCAAGCTTAAAAAATACTCCTGGAAGTTGGAGTCGGGCATTTTTAGCGCTCTAGAGCCCCTCGGAATCACCTTTAAGTGTTTGGAGTTTTACAAGTCTCAGGCATTTTGCGGCCTGTCGTTCCCTTATGGCAACGATTCGATAAGTGTCTCCTTTTGGGCCTTCGATCATTTGGCAGGCCTCCGATTCCAGATTAAGTGGTCATAAAGGTCATCATCAACATCATCATCACCCCGGTGCCACAAAGGCTCCGGGAGGGTACATCCTTGCTCCTGTACTAAAGTGGTCATTAAGGTGACAAGGGGTAATTCGAGGGGCATGCTTAGAATCCGAATTATCAAATAAAGATGTTCAGTAGATTAAGGGGCTCAGCTCGTGCCACCTTGGGGGATCATTACCCGCTAATAATGGTGATGGTAATAATAATATAGTATTATCAATAATATTGCATTATTAAAAACCTCTGGGAATTTTAACCCGCCATAATGGTCTCACCACCTCGGAGGATTTTAACCCGTCATAATGGTGGTGGAAATAATATAATATAATAATAGTAGCAATAATAACATTAACATTAGATAATAATAATAATAATATTTAAGCCTTTAAGGTTTAATGCATAAATTAAGAGTAACGGGTTGTTGAGTACTTAGCTCTTCTTGGGCTGAATTGTCATGGACTGATGTTGAAACTGTGGCCCACTAGCTTTGAGAATCAATCCTAGGCTTGAAGTAATGGAGTTGTGTGGGCTGGTGAGAAATTGGGCTTGACACTTTGACTCATTGACCAATTTTGACCCCTAGCTTTTGTCCATGAATTCTGTCCGCCCCAAATGCTGAGAAGACCTGGTCACGCTAGCTGGATATAGCCCGCGGCTGGGAGCAGATAAAGATGGAGTCGCTGTTGGCAGTCGGAGAGGAAAGGGCCTCGATGTTGCTGGTTTGCTGCTACCTGGGTCGTGAGCAGAGAGCTCTCTCACAGCCATTAATGGCGGACGAAGACCATCGAGCTACTGTAACAGATTGTTAAGACGGTGGAGCGACCAGGACCAAGGCAAGAGGTGCTGCGACGGAAGCTGCAGGGCCTGTGCCCAGAGTCGCTCGTCACTCTCAGGAGCTCCAAGGCGGCCATTAATGGTGAAAACAAGCGAAAATCAGCAAGATGAAGAGCAAGCGGCGCCCAGAAGGTTGTCAGGTGCTCTAGGCCACCGATTCGCAGGGACCTCCTCTGCTCTGTTACAATACCCTGGGACAACAACGATGCTAAACCAGCTGCGTCAACACGAGCTGAAGCTGTGCGCAGAATGGCTGGTGGCGGCGGCCGGCGAATGTGTTCCTGGCGGCGACATCCTCCTTCCCAGATCTGGATCCAGACTTTTTCATTTCTTGATGTTTCTTTAGATTTTCCAGAATAAATTTTGGCTGGATTTTTTTGTAAATGGACGGTTTTTGTATTTTTAGGAGGAATCTAAGAAACTTGATGTCTCAATCAAATATCAAATGATGGATTAGAGTTTTGAAAGTGGAGAAGAAGGTGAATTGTGTTGAATGTTGTATTGAATGTGGTTAACAAGATCTAGGTTAACCTATGTTCTAGGTTAACAAGATCTCCACAAGGGGTATAAATAGAGATAAAACGGGCCGGACAACTAATATGGGCCTGGTAGGCTCAACTATATAAAAGTTTAATTTAATACATACAAATAATATAAAATTATACAATAATGTAAATGTTATCCGGTAAGTGTGTGTCGGCCGCTATCAAACCTCAATAGTTGAGAGAACCAGAGATCCAAGTCTATGGGGTGTTTGGAATTGATTGTGCTTATATTTCTTTTTTAAAGGTGAAGCAGAATCAGTTTTCAGAACCTAATCTCTCCCGGCTTCTAAAAATACTGATTCTAGAGTAAATTAGAACACTAGAAACACTTCTACACTTTCACCCAAACACTCCGACTTCTACTTCTGCTCTCTACAGGAGAAGAAACAGTTTTAAGAATCAGATCCAAACACCCCATATGTACTTTATCAATATATATAATTTTACAGAGATGTATGATTCAAATTTTTTCTTAGATAAATTCAAGTGATAAAGATATGATTTCAATGTTAAAATATATTTTTTCTTACATACTCCGTATCTCAATTACTTTTTTAAAAAATAAATCTGGAGTAACAAAAAAATAAACTCCAAAATTATTTATTTTTACACTGGAATGTTTGACTTCTTAAATCATAATTATTGGTAAAATAAAATTATCACAAAAATGATGTGTAATAAAAAAAACAGATTTATGCATCTATTTTTAAAAAATGTGGTGAGTGAATACATTAACAGTTGGAATTCAGAGAAAAACTGGATTGATTGGTGAATACATATAAACTAGGGGGTTAGATTTATTGACGGATTGGATTGCGATTAGCCTCATGTTGTACTAATACCACCCTGTAAAGTTTAAAGTGTAAGCCAGTATATGTACTCCTACGTATAAAGTACTCCCTCCGTCTCTTTAACTTTGTCTCATTTTATCTTTTTCGTCCATCCTATTACTCTTTGTCCCAAAAATAGTGGGACGGAGGTAGTATATTTTATTCAAGCGGACTCGGACCAGACTTTATTCAAACAACCCTGCTATGGGTACCCTAATTTGTACCTCAAGCTATTTTCGTGGCTCACAAAAGTCCAACTCAATAAATGAATTGCCCCACTTTAATGAGGTGCTTTTGTGAGCCACAAAAATAGGGTAGAGTACAATTGGGGTACCAAATGGGGGTAGGTACCTTTAGCATTTTTCAAATTCAAATATCTGCCCATTGTAGTGGGTGGGCCCGACCCGCTACCACGGGCCTCTTCATGCACCTAATGTACGGGTCCAAACAAGGGAGATGGTCCAAGCCAGGGAAATGCCTTGACTTGGGTGCTGCACTGCTGCGACTCGAGCTCGAGATCCAGCAGTCTCCGGCTGAGGTTTCGCCGGTTGTAGTTGCATTGGAAACTATCGATGTTGCTGCGGTTTGAGTCGTGAGCTAAGCTCCGGAACAACCATTAATGGCGGGAGTTCACCAGGCTCAGGGGCGTGCTGCGATGAAAGAGGAGGGAAACGGCCTACTGGCTGGAGAAGTGTCGGGGACCACTGCCTGACAGCAGAAACGGGTCGCCACCTACGTCTGGCGGCGTTGTGCGCAGAGAGTCGCGGTTCTGCGGAGGAGGTGGCGGTCTGGCGGAGCTCCGCCTTCAACAGATCCTCATCCCAGCTCAATCCCCTTCCTCCTTTGCCTTACATCTACATAGCTTCACCGTGATTTTCCAGACCTGAGAGTTGACAGGCGTTCCCAGATCTGAATTTCAGATTTGTTTTTTCTCTTCTTCCTCGTGAAATCAGTTCTTCTAAACACTTCTCATTTTATTAGGCTTTTCTCACAACTTACATTGTACAAAAAGCTCGAGTTTTTTTTAATATATTACTCCGTATGAAAATAATGCATAAAAATGTGACAAAATAAATACTGCCTCCGTCCCAAAAAGATTTGCAAATTTGACTTTACTTAGTCAAACAGTCTCGTTTTGTTCACTTAATTAGGATGCCAATTTTTAATTATTTTCTAATTTGGAGTTTACAACTTTAAAGAGATTTCAATGTTGTTTTTGAATATGTAATTTTTAATTATTAAAAATTGAATTAATTATCCATAAGGAGGGTTGAGTTTTATTATTGGTTGACCAAAAAATGTTGACTTTGCAAAACAAATTAGGACGGAGGGAGTATGAGTATACTACAGCAAAACTTAATAATTATGATAGTGATAACAACAATTATTTCATATGATATTGTGTATGAAAATTACTTCGGAACATCTTTTAGATAATTCCGAACATATGAGTAAAACCTTCTTTTTTGGATGAAGGGGGTTTATATTAGAATAAAAGCATTCATCAAGGATTTAAAATAACAAGAGTACCACCGCTAACCATTTGTCCTTGGGTCAGACTCTGAGTTAACCACTTTCAAGGAAGCAGTATAACTCGTTGATCCTAAACTGGACATAATTGAGCCAACAATGGTTACAGCAGAACTTTCATCATCCGAGCCTAATGCAAGAGTCTTACAAAACCAAACAAAACCAAAACTAAAAACAACAGTCTGAACGTGAAACGAAACATAACAAACAACAAGAAAATAAACACCACAGTGGAACTTCTGCATCCGCAACCTCACGACCACATCAGGCGGGTCTAGGAACTCAGACACATTTTTTGCTTTGTCCAGTGCCATCTCCTCTCCTGAGTTGTTTTCCTGTGTCGGATCCTTTCAGACTCTCTTGCGCTTCTGGTCAATCGAGACCTCCCCTGCACTGCTTCTATCCTCATCCTTTGTGCCGCTACTTTCTGTCTCAGCTATACTCCCACTACGTCCCTGTCTCATAATGCCTTCATCTTCTTGATGAACCCTCCAGTGATGACTCGGGCCGCCTGTTTATCCACCAATCACTTACTACCTCTTGTGGGACTAGTCTTTCCCCCTCCACCTGTTCTAAGATCAGCACTAAAAGTTTTCTCCACAGTAATATCTTCCACATATTTCAATGGGCAAAATTTCTCAGAGTGCCCCATGATTTCACAGATAAAACAAAAACTCGGTAATTTTTCATACTTAAAATCTACTCAGTGTCCTTCACCCCCCTTAGTCAAAGTAGATCCCTTTTTCAGGTGCCTTCTCACATCCATCTTCACCCTAACTCTCAAGTATGAACTCCATTTTTTCTTAAAGTGGCTTTCATCAAAACTATTGAATTCCCCAATGTAATTACCCTTCTAGCAGTGATTACATTCATAAATTTGTACGGAACTTGCACCCCAAACTCTGCTTCAAACAAATTCATTTTATGTGGTATATCATTAGGACCAACCGCCTTTAGCAATAACAGATTCCGCTCAAACAGCCATGGACCATCCTCCATAACAGGATTCATATCAACTTTATGATAAAAAGTGAATAGATACCTCTTTTCATCAATTTCTTGTACTGTCATTCCTTTTTCTGACCTCTAGAGCGATGCAAACAAGTCCTGTACTGCCTGGAATCTGACTTACCGGTCTGTACGGATGGCGCCCACCACCGGAAAACCCGCCTCTTTTGCGGCTGGAGCAATAACCTCTTCCTCCTCATCATCAAAGTTTAGATTACGGGTATCCTTCTCCAAAGCCATTCTTCTGTACTGCTCCACCACTTCCTCCATAGCTTTTGGAAGAAAATCTGTCTGCACAAATGCCTCCCTGCGTATAAACCTTCGCTCGTTTCAACTGACGAAACGAAGCAATTCTGAAACTTTGACCGCTGGGGTCTTCGAAGTCTGCCGAGGAAAACCATCACCCACCTCCGTTCCTGTTCCTGTCCAAAGCAAAGGTTGGAAACGACAAAAGGGGAAAAATCGAGAGCTACACTAGGCGGCGGCATCGCCAAAACCTAAAGAGAGAGACATTCCAATAATCTCGTATGAGTAAAGCATTATAAAAAGCAAGAAAAGGAGTAGTTTTTTAACTTCTGAATATAGGGATTTTTTTATAAATGGGCAAAAATACCCTTGTCACGGTTACCGCTGCACTCCCACTGCAACTGCCCCTGCTGCAGTGCCGTTGCTGGCTACCGCCAGTCGCTGGCATGCTAGATTTTTTCCCCTTCTACAAAAAACTCTAATAACCACCATTCATCGTCTTCCTCATTATTAACTCGTTATCTTTCTAAATTTTATGTCTTAGATGCAATAATCCATCAAAAACATTAAAGTATGAAGCTTTTCTATTAAGTTGAAAGATTATATAATACATGAATCCTTCTTTATTATTAACTCATTATCTTTCTAAATTATATGTCTTGGATGCAATAATCAATCCATGAAAAACATTAAAGTATAAAGTGTTTCTATTAAGCTGAAAGATAATAATATATAGACCCCTAAATGATCCTTCCACGTATTTTCCAACCTTTGTGCATATTTGCCTCTCTTAATTGATCTCATTCTTGTTCACATCTCACAAACTACCATTTCATCTTCATCTAGAACATTCATCACACATGTAGGTTCTTTTTTGCTATGAGAATGAATTTAATTATAAATCGGAGAAAATATTCACATCTCACATTATTGATCAAGTCAACATCATGGGGTGTGGTGTTTGGTTAAGAGCCTATCAACCATCTTTATACCGGTTTGATTATATTTGGTCCTTTTGACCATATCAATTCAATCAGCTAATAAGATTGTTTGGCTGAGTAGCTTTTTCCAATGAATTTTCGTCGTGTAAGGAATAATTTGTTTTTAGATTTTGGTGATGGTTTGTAAATAGGATTTTAGAGTACCTATAATAGATAAAATGTGCTTAGCATTTTCAGTTGTATAGTACTAGAGTTAACCGACCGTTAGATTTGAGTGTAAGTTTTGACCAGAGACAGAAACGCCAAGTCAAATATGTAGGGAACAGATTTTGCCTCCAGCAGACACTACCAGAAAAGTGCTAAATTGGCACAGCTTTTGCCACGACAGCTTTCAGTTTTTTGCCCTGCCTACCGGTATTGGCACGA